ACTGACCATGACAATATATCCCTTTTCTCTCTCTCTCTCTTTTTTTTGTTAATCCTCATCTGAGGATACTTTTTCCATTGATTTTTTTTTTAAAGAGAGAGTGGAAGGGAGGAAGGAGGGAAAGAAATAGAGAGAGAGTTAGAGAGAAACATCAAACATCGGTTTGAGAGACACACATCAACTGGTTGCCTCCACACAACCCTGACCAGGGCTGGGGATTGAACCTGCAACCCAGGTACATGCCTTTGACCTGTGATCCTTTGGTCAGTGGGCCAACATTCTAATCACTGAGCCAAACTGGCCAGGGCTCCCTTCTCTTTTAACGCTGCATTTTAAATTTCTTCATTCAATATTTAGATTGTCCCTCTTATGTGCTGAAGAAAGTGCTAATGAAAGAGTTAAGAAGCCAATTCCCTACCATGAAGTAGGTCATGCTCTAGTTGGAAGAAAGAGAACTATAATGTATTTTGTGACATTATAAGAGTTGTGCCCTGGAGGGGGCAAATAGATTCAGACAAATCAGACTATTAGGGCTTTCTGGGAAGGGAAAATTTTTAAGTGAGTCATACAAACAAACAAACAAACAAATTCAACAGACGTGAGAAGGAAGAATGATAAAATAAGACACATAAGGAAGAGAATATGTGCTTGGCCAAGGAAATAGCATATGAGCTGGGTTTTCAATGGCTCTAAATGGAAGATCTGCATGCTATGTTATTGGAGGCCAGGTGCCAAGAAAGCAGATTTTGACATAAACATAACCAGGCAAGGAGTGTACCAGGGAGTGCTATAGGATCAACACCTGAGGGAAGAGGAGGCAGGAGGATTGAACAGAGGGGAAGCTGAGCTGCAGCACAGTTACAAAGTGGCCTTGGCCAACTACAAGCTATAGAGGGACACTTTGAAGCTGGGATGACCCTTTAGAGGTGAAATGAGAAGTCTAAGCCTTTATTCCTCCTCACTGACCAGTTATTGGATCCCTGGATGTGGGAGAAAACTTGGGCTAAATGACTAATTTCAAGAATTCCAAGAATGACCCCAAAATATCTACCAAACATCTATACTTCTCAGTAGAGATGACTAGATCAGTCTGCCATTTTTCACTCTGGAATCCTCTGTCTTTCAGAGGTTTGGTTTCTTTGTGTCCACAACAAATTCTCTGTCCAATCCATTATTGCTACAGTTGTAGTTTTGATTTCACTCAACTAGGGGCATAAAAACCAGAAACCCTTACAGAAAAAAACTTAGTTTGGACCATTTTCCTTAAAAGGCAGTTATTGTTATGGGGTGCACCTGAGATATGATAGTTTCTATACAGCTTAAGAAGGCAAAAGACCATTGAATCGGCTGCTGTGAAAAGATAGTGCTAGAAAGAAACTATCCTTACCAACTCTCTACTATCTAGGATGCTTGCTTCCCTCCAGTTATTGTGAGAAAATAGGAGATCAGTAACCTCAAGGAAACCATGCTTTCATCTGTTAAAGTCTGCTAAGGCTACCAATAAATAGAGGTGTGTTTTATAACGTGTAGTCACAGAACCAGCAGCTTCAGCATCACCTAGAAATTGTTTGAAATGCAAAAACTCAGGCCCCACCAAAGACCTGCTAGAGGAGAAACCCTGGGGGCAAAGATGTTCACTATATTTTAACACGACCTTCAGATGATTCTGTTGCATGGTGGAGGGGATTAATTTACTGCAGGTGACAAGCACCCTAAACCAAATCTCTATAAGGGGCCATATATATTTTTTTAATTTCAAAAATAAAATAATTTTTTGTGGTTCTAAATGATTTTGTATTTGTGGGGAAAATATTTAATCCAAAAAGTGCAAGAGAATAGCAATTCTACTGTGAACATTTTAGTGCATTTCTTTTCAGATATTTTCATGCATGTTTATTTATAGAAAATATGATCATACTATATTACTTTTGTATTGTTGTTTTAATAATTTAGCCAAATACATATAGATGTAACAAGGATAACTCAGACGACACAGCTTATAAGTACAAAGGAACTTATCTTTTCTCTGAACCCACCCATGTACTACTACTAATGGGGAGTATGGTCTTTTAGAGTATTTCTCTTCCTTAATATCTCTAAGTTTAGAACTCTGGTATTAAAGTTTTAAAAGGGCATGTATTTAAAAGCAAGCAATTTTTATTTTGTATGAAGCAGTTAAGATAGTTATATACAAGCAGGATGTCAACTTAATAAAGCTAAATGTTTGGGAGAACATTAGCATGTAAAGTACTGGTTTTAGCTTCTAATTATGAGATGGTCTGCTACAAGTTTCCACTTGGCACCTCCTCCATTCTCTTCTCCTAAGTTATTAGAAAAAGTGTCCAGGGGGAGAAAATGTTCTTTCTTTAATCCAAGACTACAGAGAGTGTGTGAACTTGAATAAGAAAAGACAGGAGCAAATTATTATCACTAATGCTATTGTTATTTTGCAGTGATATTGTACGATGTTGTTCAGGTTTGTGGTGTCTAGAACACGGGGCTGGCTTTCAAGTCAGGTGGACTTGGGAGGGAATCTTTGCTCTGACATTTGCTAACTCTGTGGTTTGCTCTGTTACTTGAGCAAGTCACCTAATCTTTAGAGTCTTCTGTTCCTCCCTGAGGAAAAAGATAATAATATAACTAACTACCTTGCAAGGTTAATTTGAGAACTGAATAACGTGTTAAATGAAGTATGTAGTTTTGAAAATTTCCTGGTTTAAAGAAAACAAACAAATTCAACAGACGTGAGAAGGAAACAACCTGTGTTTGCAGTTGAGCGTTGGAAAATATTTCTGTCCTTTCCACTTTCCTACCTCTGTGAGAACTTGTAGGTAAATAGGACAACCCTCGGGTTGAAATGTGAAGTTGACAAAGACTTCCTCCTAACTGCCCAGCCTCTGCTTCCCTGCCCCCTTGGCTAGAGCAGCTGACCCTGCCTCACTCTCTGGATCCTACTTAGTTCCTCCTCCTCCCTTTCAGGCCAAATCTGGAAGTACCCTGTTACACATACTCAATTACGCTAACTAAACTGAAATGGAGGATGTTTTGGTCCTCAGTGATGACTTTTATCTCGAATTAGACAATGCATCTGAAGCAGAACGTGACAAAATAGTAGAAGTAGCTCCAGATTTTGGTTCCATGGCTCTGCTTCTTACATTGGGCAAAAGTCACTATGACTGTGAGAAAGTCACCAAGGCTCAGTGAACTTCAGTTTTTCTGGCCCCACCTTTATTCCACATGATTTCTGGGAGCTGCTAGCTGGAAGAGTTGGACTCCTTCATCACTGACCCCTCCCAGAAGCAAGAACCCTTTCCCTCAGCATGGGTGCTCTTCTATCTGTCCAGCCCTCCTCCTTCCGGCCACCTCAACCAGGGCAGGTTGGCTCAGTCCTGTTTCTTCTAATCTGAACCAGCACTTCCTTTCACCAGCAAGACTCCTTCCATATTTCTGATAACTGTGACTTGTTAGATACATTTCAATTTATTACTTTGGTTGGTAAAATTCACATAATTATAGAAACATTCTGTAAAACATCTTCCACCCTGTCTTCCTCTCTTAGTCTCCCCTCCTCACCATCCGGTTTGGCTCAGCATTGGCCCGTGGACCAATGAGTACAAGTACAAGTAATCATTGTAATTCATTTCTTATATATTCTTTTTGGGTTTTTTTTTTGGTGTGTGTGCGTATTTATTATTTATTTATTTATTTTTATCTTCACCCGAGGACATTTTTCCATTTTTTGATCAGCTAGAGTGGAGGGAGAGAGAGGAAGAGAGAGAGACAAACATCAACGTGAAAGGGACACATTGAGTGGCTGCCACCCGCATGACCCAACCAGGGCTGGAGACATACTACATCCAAGGTACATGCCCTTACGGGAACCGAACCCAGGTCTCTCTGGACCTCAGATCGACATTCTAACCACTGAGCCAAACCAGCCAGGGCATATATATTCTTTATTTATTCATACACAAGTAAGGTCAAATATAAACTTTATTTTACATTGTAATCTTAAATATAGCATTTTATACACACTTCTGCATCTTGCCTATTTTTTTAATCTTTTACTTTTTACAGAAAGAGCAACTCTCATACTTTACTCCAGCTGACTAGTTTTCCTTTGACTGCAACTTACCAGTCTTTAATTAGAAGAATCTGGGTAATTTCATGTATTTTGATATGATAAATAATGCTGCAATGAATATTATATGTAAGTCATTTCACACATGTGCAAGTATTTTTATAAGATACTTTTCCATACCTAGAATTGCTGGATCACAGACTACATGCATCTGTAATTTTTACAGATAATCTCAAATGCCTCCACAGTGATCATACCAATTTCCAGTGCTCTGGAAAATTTTAAGAGCATCCCTCCCCAAAGTCTCTGCAAGAATGTTGTTATCATTATTTTTTAAATCAAACTTTGGGTTTTTACTTACCTGATAGGTTATAAATGTCATGTTATTTGCTTTTAATTTGTATTTTCATTATTATGAGTGAGGTTGAACCTCTTTTTGTGTTTTTTTTCTCTGGAACCTTTTTGTTTATATATTTTGGTTATATTTCTGCTGTGTCGCCTATAACAAATCTTCAGTGTGCAATGATATTTTCAAATCTTGTTATGTAAATTATTCCTAGTATTTATCATTGTTTCTATCCATTTCTGGCAAATAAGAAAATCACTGGAATAATGTTCTATGTCTAGAAAAATAAGATTACAGTGGCAACATATTTCATTGTATTTACCCAGCCAACTTTTATAAAAATATACCCATTTGAAGAACCAATTATGAAATATTAATGAATTTACTTCAACTCATAAAAATTTAAGATGGATAGAAAATATAAAGTGACAATACAAGATAAAAACAATGAGCAATATCCATAATCTTAAGGTACAGATAAATATATATGTATACACATAAAACCCAAACTATGCTACCATTTCATGACAAAAAGAACTAATGATGTCTGGAGAAGCCCTCCCATCCTACCACCTACCTTATGCTTTCAAAGCCTGCAGCTGCCTCTTGCTCCACATGGTTCAAGGGTCCATTTCTTATTTGCTCAGCTTTCCTGTGAGTGGGAACACAAAGAATAGACACCGGTTGATTTCCACTCGGACAATGGTTGAGGCACAGCTGTTGTATTCCTGGTTTTCCAGGTAATCATGGATCCTTCGGAAGTACATTTTAACCTGTAACCTAAGGTTCCCACTAACTACGCTACCACTTTTCTGATCTGCTTGCAGTCCCATGAGTGTTTCTAGCAATTCTAGCTGTTGATGAAGTTCAATGATCAACTTCTCCATATAACTTTCCTTTCAACCATCCAGAGAAATATTTGCCCCAAAGAGGCTGAAGATCTGCTGAAGCATCTCATGAAGAATGGTCAGTGCACATCCTTTCTCGTACTGGTGAGGATTGACAGCCTTCTGGGGAAGCAGCAAGTTTTTCCTGTGTGGTAGATACTGCTGAATTGACGAGGGCTGTAATTTATTCAAGAGTTTTAAACTTTCTCTGTTCATTCTTCTTCATTGGAAGAGAACCAGTTTCTGTTCTAGGGAGAAGAGGTCAGCAGCACCAACACAGTTTCAAAGAAGTGCTTGTTAATCATGGTGAAGGTCAAATATGCCTCTTATCTCTCTGCAGATTTAGTGAAGCTCCAACTCTAGTGAATGTTTGCCTTTCATGCATCTCAAATTGTTTTGGAAGGTGTTTTCTTGGTTTTGTTTGCTAAAGCTGTCATTTCTCTAAGTTTGCACCTTAAGCTTTTTGGTTTCCTATTCATAGTGTTCATGGGATATTTTCTCCACTTTCCCCATTGTGTTGGCTGTTTGAGGAAGTAACTAAAAGAACTTGTTTCATTGTATGCTTTCCTTGAGACAATTACAGACTAGTCATACAGTAAGACCTTCTATTACTCTCATTATTTATTACATACAAAGTTTCACTCAACACAATATGCTTGCTTTCTAAATATTCAGTTAAACTTTCTGAACTTCTTTTACTGAGAGTAATGTATTTTATGGGGTAGTTTTTAACAGAGTGATATTTATCAGAGGCTTAGCAGCATCTATATGACACTTGGACACAAAAATTAGAATCCACATAGACCACCAAATTTAAAACCTCAAGTAGAACTAAAAATGTAGACAAATGCTTGAGCAAATTAATCTTGAAATATGTTCCAGCAATCTTAAATTGTTCTACATCTTATTCAAGCAGCTTAATATATATGATTGTAGTCTATGGAAGTAATGTGAAAGATAGAAAAAAGTGAGCAAAAGAAGGTCATTAAAAGTTACTGCAGTTGGCCCTGGCTGGTTTGGCTCAGCATTGGCCCATGGACCAATGAGTCCTGGGTTCAATTCTGGTCAAGGGCATGTACCTCAGTTGCAGTTAGTCCTCGGCCCTGGTCGGGCTGTGCAGCAGGCAACCAGTTGATGTTACTCTATCACATTGATGTTTTTCTCTGTCCCTCCCTCCCTCCCTCTCCCTCCCTCCCTCCCTCCCTCCCTCCCTCCCTCCCACTCTATCTGATCATAAATAGAAAAATATCCTCAGGTGAGGAATAAAAAAATAAAGTAAAATAAAAAATTTAAAAAAGAAAAAAATTATTGCAATTGCAGAACATTAGAGACAGTCTATAGGTGCAACAATAGGGGAATAGTTAAATAACTGTTGGCAAATACATATAATAAAATGCTATGTAACCATTATAAATGATAGAATTATGTGTGAGAAGACATTGGGGATTAGTCTATATTCCCTAGGGTACCAATAACTATGGCAAATCAATCTGGCTATCTTTACATCGATAATGTCTTTTGAATTACAAATACTCAGTTACATATTGTAAATTCCCTAATGTACCTTTCCAATCTTATCTCCCATTATTGCTTTAAATACTTAGGGGTGGAAACATCTGGCCCTGGAATCTTAAATCAATACCATCTAACATCACACGTCTCACCAAATTAGCCTGACCAAATATAGCAGATCAATTTTTAAGTTGATAATTTTGTATGGCCCACGAATGATGTTATAAATATCCAAATGGCCCTTGGCAGAAAAAAGATTCACCACCCCAACCTGAAATACAGATAAAGTTAATGACTCACTATTTCCTTAATACAAATAGCACTGTGTTCATTGATAATGCTTTCTCTCTCTGAAACATCACCTGTTGCCTCCTTCACACATAGTACCTGTCTGTCTAAGGACTAAGGACTAATTCTCCTTTAGGGCCTATATCTCCTGACAATAAGATACAATATTTACCCCTTTGTATCTCCTTTAAGATATCTTCCTTGTTCTGTCTTATATAGCAATAAATTTACTTGTCTTAGAGCCTTCCAACATTTAAACCTCTTAAGACTGTGGAATAAACAGTCATCTTTGTTACTATCTATGCAACTATAGTAGGAGCTTAATATGCATGTGTTGACTTGTAGTGAATCACTGTGCTCTACCATGAAGTAATACAACACGTAACATCTTATCTTTGACCATTTCTCTGCAGGCGACTGGTGGGTGAAAAGAGACACTCTGAAAACATGTACAGTCTCATTATCTATAAGCTCAGCTCGATATTCTTGTCACTTAGTCTGGTATTAGTAAGTCGAAATACACTGAGCCAGCATGGTCCATGGAGGAATCTTTTCTTGTACAAAAGTTCAATTGCATTCATCAAAAGGTTTCTATTCTAACACTTTGGGTATTGTGGAATTTGAACTTTCAGAGATCCATTAGAGTCAAACTACAGAAATCTCTTATATAAAGTAATAAGGTAAACAGACATTTAGATCATGTCAAGGAATGGGAGTTGGAAAGAAAAGAAAACTTCACAACTAACTGAAAGAGTGATAACTCTGTTCAAAGGTAGGTTATTTCATGTGCCCATGACTTTAAACTTAACATCTAAGCCATACGTGCTTTGCACTGGATATTGTTCTGTAAAGCATATCCTTTTTGAGAAGTTTTTAAACTTTTTACTTGATAAGAAATTACCTAATAATTCTATCAGAGTTACTGGTTAGACACCTGCATATTGTGTTCCTCTACTTGGGACAATGGCATGGGTCAGGCTGACAAACATCTAAACACCTCATTCATGTTTTCACACCACCAGAGAACCAGTACCTTTATAAGTTCATTCAGACTTAAGGGCTCTGTTCTTTTCTATAGGCTACTAGAGAAGCTAAACTGTTTAAGGAATAAATAGAGAAAAATAAGGAAATCTCTTTAGTCATCTAAATTATGGAATTTGGGTATTGGTGTTACAAAGATCTGGATTGGAGTATTCTCTCTGTTATTTACCAATTGTGTTACTTTGTGCAAGTTAATTTCTTTCTGTCTCAGTTTTTTAATCTCTAAGCTTATAAAATACTTTAAAGGCCCAGCAGAAAAAAAGGTTATAAAATCTACTATGCTGCTTAAACTAATACATAACTAATGCATATTAGTTCACTTACACTTAACAAATGACTAAATCAGTCACATTATTCCTGGGGATTTATAGACAGTTACAGTAATATAGTTTTACAGATAAAAGACATGAATCACCTCACACCTGCCAGAATGGCTGACATCAACAAATCATCAAACAAGTGCTAGTAAAAATGTGGAGAAAAGGTACTCTAGCACACTGCTGGTGGAAATGAAGACTGGTATAGTCACTATAAAAAACAGTATTGAGTTTCCTCAAAAAATTAAAAATGGAACTGCCATTTGATCCAGTGATTCTTGGAATAGATCATAAGCCTGAAACATCAATCAGGAAGAATAAATATATGCACCCCTATGTTCATAGCAGTGTTATTTACAATAGCTAAGATCTAGAAACAGCCCAAGTACCCATCAGTAGGTAAGTTAGTAAAAAAATCTGTGGTACATTTACACAATGGAATACTATGCAGCTGTAAAAAAGAAAGACAAATATCACATGATCTCACTTATATGTGGAATTTAATGAATAAAATAAACTGACAAACAAAATAGATCCAGAGGCATAGAAACGGCACAGACTGATGGATCTCAGAGGGAGGGGGGCAGGAGCACAGGCAGAAATTAACCAAAGAATTTATATGCATATATGCATAGCCCATGGACACAGACAACAGTGTGGTGAAGGCTTGGGTGGAATGGAAGGGGGCAATAGGGGGAAAATGGGGAACATCTGTAATACTCTCGACAATAAAGATAAAAACAATCATTTTTCTCTTCTTGTGGCTCTTTGAGGATAAGTTGAGTTGTTCTGGGCTTCTGGAAGGATATGATCTCTTTATGTCTGGATAGTTTTATTGTGACAGCAACTCCAGTAATATTTTTGAAATTTCTCTTGCTCGCTCTCTCTCCCACTCTCCTTCCCTCCCTCCCTTCTTCTGAAAAGGCCTATTTTAAAATATACAACAGAATAATACTTGTTACAATAACACTCTACTTACTCTTTTTGGGCAATAGAATTTTGACCTGGTCTTAACATAGATCTATAAACCTTTAATGTAGAGCTTAAGGAAAACACTATAAGGATAAATAAAAATAATCTCTAATCTAGGTAGGACTTACACATCATTTTTATCCAATTTGCAATGATAATGTAAAATTGTGTTAATTTCCAGATATATTTTTGTTATTGTTTTCTCATTTGAATCTGTTGTGTCAAATAATACAGTTTAAATTTATTGAGACATTTTATGGCTCAGAATATGATTTATCTTGGTTACTGTTTCATGTAAATTCAAAAGAATTATATTGTTTTTGTGGATTGAACTATTTTATAAATATTAACTAGGTCAAGTTGGTTGACAGATGTTGAAATTTTCTATATTCTTTCTGGATTTCTGCCTATTTGTTCTATCAACTACTAAGAGAGAAGCTTTGAAATCACCAGGTATAATTTTGGGTTTGCCCATTTCCCTTTTTACTTCGATCAGGTTTTGCATCATGTATTTTAAAACTCTTATTAGGTACATCACACTTAGGATTATTATTTCCTCTTAATGAATTGACCCCTTTATTTTAAATGTCTGTCTTCATCTCTGGTAATATTCCTTAGTCTGAAGTCAACTTGTATTGTATACTTATGCTTTCTTTTGATCAGTGTTTGAATGGTATATCTTGTCACATCCTTTCACTTTTTCTTTTTTTGTTAATCCTCACCCAAGGATATTTTCCCATTGATTTTTTTTAAGGTAGAGTGGGAAGGGTGGGGGGGAGAGAGAGAGAGAGAGAGAGAGAAATACCAACGTGGATGTGAGGGCCTTACTGCACATTGATTGGTTGCCTCCTGCATGACCAGGACCGGGGGGATGGGGGGACACATGGGATTGAACCTGAAGCCCAAGTAGGAGCCCTTGACCAGGAATCAAACCCATGATAATGAACCCTCAACCCTTTTCAGGCTGATGCTCTAACCACTGAGCAAAACTGGCCAGGGTGTATCCTTTTACTTTTAACCTATAGATGTCTTTTATATTGAAAGTGAGTTTCTTATATATGGCACATAGATGGATCTTGCTTTTTTCTCCAATCTGAAAATCTTTGCTTTGTATTGAAGTTGTTAGACTATTTACATTGAATGTAATTATCAAGATGGATTGGTTTACATTTACC